GACAGCCAGTGAGCATACTCTGTAGAATTTTCCACATGCTGTGCCCAGTCCAGTATTGCTGCCACGACAGTGATGGGCACCAATCTTGGCTAACGTGGCCTTGTACACTATTTCAGATTGCCAAGGCTGGACAGGTGCTGGCAAAGATGATCAGTTTCGCTTTGCCGTTCTCTGGTCACCTTCAGAATTTGCTTGTACCCCAGCATGCACTTTCCACTTTTCATAACAAGGTGGATCCTAGAGGGGATCGATTCCAGCAACATTTTTCTCTTCTCAGCCACCATCTTCCTGCCTTAGCTGCAGGAAGATGGAAGACCTTAGCTGCAGGACAGCCCCCAATCAAACGCAGCCATCGAGATGAATTTAAATATGCCGCTGAAACCGGTTTGGCTCAGTGGTAGAGCATCGGTCTGCGGACTAAAAGGTCCCAGGTTCGATTCCGGTCAAGGGCATGTACATTTGTTGCGGGCACATCCCCAGTAGGGGTTGTGCAAGAGGCAGCTGGTCAATGTTTCTCTCTCATCGACGTTTCTAGCTCTCTATCCCTCTCTCCTCCTCTCTGTAAAAAATCAATAAAAATATATTTTTAAAAACTTTAAATATGTCATTTAAATTTTCAATGTACACATTTAAAATTCAGATTCTCAGTAGCATTAACCATATTTCAAGTGCTCAGTAGCCATATTGGACAGCACAAATGTAGAAAGTTCTATTGGACAGGGCTGGTCTCTGAGCTGTGGTGTCACCATGAGCTAACAGCGTGGGGGAAGGGAGGGGAGAGGAGGGTTGAACATGGTCACCACTAAAATTCCTTCCGCTCCTTATTTTAAAAGCCCACAAAGTTATTGTGTGAATGTGAGGAGTTGGAGGAAAATGCCCAAGACAGAGCTCTGGGAAGCAAAACTGCTTGGATGACGAGCAGCTAGTCCTTGGACACAGGAGAGTCAGGAGTAAGAAAAATCCCGAGCTCTCAGCAGCATATGTGTTTGAAAGGAGAGGGGGTAAGAAGAGTGCAGAGATAACAGAGTTGTAGAACTGACACTACCCGCCTGACCCTAAGATTTGTGATAAAGCTACTGTAATCAAGACTGTGATTTTAGTGAAAGAATAGGCAAATAGATCAATGGAACAGAATAGAAAGCCAGAGATAGACTCTTATAAAGATGGTCAATGGATCTTTTACAAAGGAGTAAACAGTGGCACAAAGATCATCTTTCCAACAGATGGTGCCAGAACAGCTGGACATCCAAATGCAAAAAAAAAAAAAAAAAGAATTGGGACACAGATCCAGCACCCTTAACAAAAATGAACTTGAAATGGATCACAAATCTAAATGTAAAATGCACAAACGATACAACTGCCAGGAGATAGCACAGGAGAAGACTTAGGTATCTTTGAGTATGGCAATGACTTTTCAGATACAATACCAAAGACACTGTCAGAGATTTTCTTGACTAATCCACAGGCTCAGCTCTTTGCCCTTTTGTGTAGGCAGGAGGGGACCACTCCTCTTCTTGGTCTGTCGCAACCAGGGGGACCAAGGGAAAGGAGTATGATTTTGTGGGTTCGTTTGCTCCCAGGCAATCCCTCCCCAGGGATTACTGTCTGAGAGCTAAGCTGTATAAGCTAAAGAAAGTTCAGTCACTCCATTGAATGTAAGTTGTTGTTTTTTTGTTGTTATAAAATCTCCTTTGCAGTTAGCACTATATGTTGTTGTTGTTGTTTTAACTTTTAAAGCAATTTGACTGATTTATATACAATGAGAAACACACCTCTTTTAAGTGTGCATTTCAGTGAGTTTTTTACAAATAAAGAACTCACTTACCCATCCCCACAATCCAGACACTGAACATTTCTGTCGCTCATGAGCCGTCTCAGCAATGCCCACTCTCTGCCCCCGGCCCCAGGAAATTTCGGGTAGAAAGTTCTGCTTTCTGTCACTACAGATTAGTTTTGCTTTTACTTGAGTTTCATAATAATAGAATCATTCAGCATGTGCTTTTCTTTGTCTGGCTATGTTTGCCCAGCACAGTGTTATTGAGATTACCCAGTTGCATATATTAGTAGTTGATTTCTTTTTGTTGCCAGATAGGATTCCGTTGTGCAGATTTATCATAATCTGTACATTCACCTTTAGGTGAACATTTGGGTTTGGGGCTATGAAGATTAAGACTGTTAACCATACAGGCCCTTTTTGCAGACATATTTTCATTTCTCTTGTAAATATCCAGAAATGGAATTGCTGGGTCATATGGTAAGTGTATGTTTAACTTTGTAAGAAACTGCAGGAACATATTGTTTTCTTCTAAGAAAATTGATTTTTTGGGGGGGTGGGGGAAGGGAGGGACAGTTGTTTTGCCTCTAGTATTGTCTGCACCTCTGTTCCTGTTGGATTTTGTAGACTAGATACCATAGACTGTCTGACAACAGGTCGGTGTGTTGATGGCTGTTTGGTCTAGAAGTTCTGGGTTAGGGTCATGGTCTATCTGGATGAGACAGTATTGGATTATTGCTCATGCTAAGGAGACCAGACAGGCTAACCACAGCAAAGTTTAAACAAATAGTATGGGCTCTTTGGAAAAGAGTGTATTTCAAGGCTGTGGAGAAGGCTGTATTTGCACCAACTGAGGAAACTGCTAATCCTTAAGGATGCAAGGTGCGTCCAGCAGAAGTTGTTCCCCGTAGAGATTGATGGGGAGGCTTCTAACCCAGCTCAGTCCTTACCTTCCTTGTCCTCTTAGGGAGAGAACCTGATGGCCAGTTCAGTCCTGGAACTACCAAGAGTTGTCCTGCAGTGCGGGTAGAATAGGAAATCCTTGCCTCAGGGCCAACTTCCGCTTCTAAGTAGTATAGCATATGGAAATGAGATACCAAACCTAATCCGTAAGTTTGAAATATATAAGAAAGGTGCTTTGTACTGGAAATAATAGGCAAACGTAAGTTGCTATTCATCCATACATTAAGGAATAGTCGATCCACATTGCTAGTCTTTTCTACCTTTTTTTTTTTTTAAAGTAAATATGCTTATGATAGAACTCAAATTTCTGATCACACTTTATTCAACTGATGATCACATTTTGTGTGCTTAAATGCAGGTGTGTACGGGGTGGTGTTCTCTTAAATATATTCAAAGCAATTCTGGTTTCCCAGACAAGTAGATTTGGAAAATGCTGTGTTGCGGTCTCTACCTACTGGTTGTCTTGTGGAAGCACCCTAGTGTAATGAAATTTTCTATTCTGTTAACCCTGTTGGCGCATTATCTCACAGAATCTGTGGGGTAAGAATCCTGGCATGGCTTAGCGGAGTCTTCTGCGTCAGTCGCTTACAGAGCTGCAAGCAGGTGTCGGCCACAGCTGAGGTCTCCTCCAGAGGCCTGACTGGGGAAGTATTCAGTTCTGAGGTCACACAACTTTGGGCAGAATTTGGATCCTTGAAGGCTAGTCTGGGAGCCCCAGTTCCTCGTTGGCTGTTGGCCAGCGGCCACCCTCAGTTTCCTGCCCTGTGGGCCTGTCCAACACAGCAGCCTGTCTCATCAAACATGCAAGCCCAGAGGTCAGTCAAGAGAGTCTTCTCGCATGATGGGAGCTACGATTTTATGTAACCAAATCACGAAAGTGACATCCATCACCTTTACTTTATTCTTTTGGGTAAAAGAAAGTCATAGGCCCCCACTCAAGGAAGAGGATATTACCCAAAGGTGTGGCCTCCAGGGACCATCTGTTTGTAGGGGTGGGTTGCAGTCAGACCTGCCTCCCTCTGAAACCAAACATATTGCACATAGTTGCCTGGAGACACCAGTGCTAGGTAAACAACTCAACTATAGACGTAAAAATGAGTGCGTAAATTTGGCACATATTATAAGGATGATCCAGAGTTGTTGACTCTCCTAGACTTATTCTTATAGGAAGTGGGTAGAAAAGATGGACTGTCAGTGGGATTTTTCTGATATTTTAAGGACAGAATCTTGCACAGAGCCTGACCCGAAGGAGGCCCTCTGTAAAGCTGTTTGCACGAATAGACTTTGTTTTCAAAACACAGCTTAACGCGGCCCTATTGCCCTGCTTTTGTAAAAATATTTTATAGCCTTCATCTTGAAATGAAATTCATAAACAGGATTTACCTAGATGCACGATTCAAAACATTGATAGGACTTAACTGCAATGTAAAAGTAAAAACAGTGATTTATAATAAAAGGAATGGTTTTTAATATGTAAATGCTCCTAAGCGAAGTGCTTGCTTCTGAATTTAGAGTCACTATTCATGACACAGCTATAAATACAGCCTGAAACTTGGTACCACGTGTGCCGTTCAAGACTCAGATCTTAACCATTTGCCACGGGCAATGTGATTTTTCCAGAAAGATGGACGATTCTTGGAAACATTCCGAACAGAGCAAAAGAAGATTCGCCCCAGATATTATGCAGTCGTTGCTCTCCTAGGAAATTCAGAACAGATTCAAATTATGCAAAAACTGCCTTGTTTGGGGCTCAGTTTAGGCTCAGGTAAATTATAATTTCATCTGCAGGTCTAGGACCTTGGAAGGCATGAGGACCTTGGGACCATTTATTGTCCAGGACTTGACTGTATGTAGCAGAATGAATGGCCGGGACCCGGCACATTCCCTTACACACACACCCCCAATTCCAGGAATGCCCTGCAATTATTCCCACAATAAAAACCCCCGTGGATTCCATGTGGAGCAGCACCACTCCCCATTGAAAACCTCTGCAGCGGGGCTTACCCTCTCGGGGAAATGAGAGTGATGCAGTTCCTCTGGTTTGGCTGCGCATGAATATCAAACAGGAGAGGAAGTAAAAATTGGGGCACTCAAGTTTGTACTGTGGCCCAGCAGCCGAGGCATAGGTGGGTGTCTGGACAAGCAGAAGACCATAGTAATTGCTGGAGAGAGGATGTGAGGCTGTCAGGAATGGGCCTCTGAAAGCAGATGCTTTGAATGCTGAATTTTAAGAATACTGATGAAATGCTTCCTTTTCCAACAGAAACCTGTTTCCCTCAAATCTTGTGGTTGCCACTTTTAAAACGGTAAGGCTGGATGCTTTGCTAAAACTATGGACCTTGGATGGGGGTGGAGGTGGTATAAATTATTGCCATAGAATTAGGTAAGGTGTTAGCAAAACTTGGTAACATCGGTCCAAGTTTCATAGATGGGCCCCTGGAATCAAACACACAAAACAAAACTCAGTGTTTTTCTAAAATATCCCACTGGTTTCAACATCTTTCCACATCACCTGAGAAATACACTCCAATCACATTTTGAGGCTCTCTTGAATACTTTAGAATATCTTTCAATTTTATATTTTTTCGGGTTATAAGGGTAGTATATACTCATTGCAAAAAAAAAGAGTAAAAGTAAAGTACAAAAAAGTAGGAGAAAGTAAAATAATCATCCATATTCACCACCTAGAGCTACCCATGGACATTTTGATATACATCCTTCAGATCTGTTTTTTTCTATTATGCATGCTCGTTTTAAAAATAATCATACTAAATATGTTGTTTGTAAACTCTTTTTATAATTTTAAGATTTTTAAGGTTTTTCTTTTGTTGATTTGAGAGAGAGAGAGAGAAACATCAATTTGTTGTCCCACTTATTTATGCATTCATTGGTTGATTCTTGTATGTGCCTTGACCGGGGATCAAACTCACAACTTTGGTGTAGTACCGAGACAATGCTCTAACCAGCTGAGCTACTGGCCAGGACTCTAAACTCTTTCTCAAAGCAGATTTTCTCATGTCAGTGAATCATCCGCCTGCACATGTTATTGGTTGTATTCCACTCTCTGAGTGTCCCCTGATTTTACCCCATCGGCCTCTTGTTGATGGACGTTCGGGTTGTTTTCAATTTTTCCCTAATTTGAGCAATACTCTAAGTAACACCCCTGTAGCCATGGTTTACACAAAGAAGAAATATAAAGGTCTAGATTAGATGGACTAACCTGATTGCCCTTTATAACCAAAGACTTTTCTGTTTCTAATTATAGCCTCTCTCTTTAAAAAAAAAAATTTAAAAAAATAAAAACAAAACAAATCTGCATATAAGCACAGTGTTGGCTTCTGTCTATCACATGAGGTAGGAGGAAAATAATAGGTTTATGGGGTTTCAGGGCCTATCTCATGTGGAGTGAGTTTTGTTTTTCCTGCCATCCTGGTCACAGGACCACTGAACCACCTCCGTGCGTCTGAAAGCTTGATCAGTCAACGCTGCGAGAGGACCAGAGCTCCACAGAGGTCAGCACAAAGCAGGCCTCCGGGTCCGTGCCTCCTAACATGCTGCTCTGGAGTGTTCAGAAGCAGCTGTCCTCAGAACAGGCCGGGAAGGGTGTTTCATAACAGATTCCACTCGATCGCCATGCCGCCCCTGGGAGACCCCTGCGCAGAAATGTGTGCAGTCGGCCGTAGGCCAAAGCTGGAGAGGTGTTTCACCTCAGAGGAGTGGGTCTCCCAGGAGACTCAGCCAGGAAACACGGGCTTGCCTGGCATCCTTTGCTTTGGAGAGGGGAGGCTCAGGCCAGTTAGAAATAGATTCTGAAAAGCAGTCATAGTCAAACAAATTCTGGAACAAAGTGAAGCATAAATAAACGAGTAAACGTAAGTGGAGACTCATTGAAAAGTGAATTTGGGCATTATGAAATTAATACCAAGGTTCTCCAAATACTGTGAAAACCAGCTGTTTGAAATATCAAGCTCTCAGCATGCAGTTGGGTAGGCTGACCAACCCGTTGTCCAAGAGGTATAAGGAAATTCTCCCTGGGTCTCTATCTAACCCAGAGGCCTCTTGTAGTACATGCTGCCTTAATGTGAAGGTACTTTTGTGTGGTTCTCAGAGTCCCCTGTTAGGCCAACTAATTGAGCAATGTCCCCCGACACTCAAAGTGAACAATGACAGACTAGCAAGAGGCTCAGCTATTCGCTCCCATCTTCTCCTGTGCCCTGACAGTTATTTTTCTTTCTCTCACAGTATGCAACTGATTATAAAATGGCCCTCCACAATATGAGCAATGGAAACGTAACTCTTGAAAAGGTAAAGCTCTTTGTAAGATCACTTGAGATGAATACTTACCAAGTAAAAAATGCTTTTTAATTGCAGGAGCCCACACAATGCATCTTTCCCAAGCAGGGCTGAAAACTTAGGGGTTTGGGTGGGCTATTCAAAGCACCTGGACTTGGTTTGTTTCTTTGGTTATTTACCAACATGGCCAAAGGCTAGTGTGTGTAGCTTTGGCATCTTTAGTGGATCTACTTCATCAAATTGGGACTAACGTCTCCTCTCAAAATATCTATATATATAAAAGCCTGATATGCTAAGTGTCTGACCAATTGGTCAACCACCAGCAGACAGACCCTCCAACTGATAGGTTAGCTTGCTGCTGGGATCCGGCCAATCAGGACTGGTCAAGATGGGCTGGGCATGCCCTTGAGCCCTCCTACAGTCCCTCTCCTGCCGGCCAACCTCCATCGGTCCCTCCCCGGCCAGCCATCCCCCATCAGCCCTGATTGGCCCCAGTGATCACTGGCCAGGACGAGGGACCCACTGGTGCATGAATTCATGCACTGGGCCACTAGTATTTTATAACACCCTCTGTTATCCTGAAATATACCTAACTAAAGACCTGGTGAATGAAATTTGAGCATGGGCGGTGGGGAGGTGGGGGAGGGTCCCTCAGCCCGGCCTGCACCCTCTCCAATCCAGGACCCTTTGAGGGATGTCTGACTGCCTCACACAATCCAGGAGCACTAGCTCCTAACTACTTGCCTGCCTGTCTGATCACCTTAAACTGCCCCCCTGCTGGCCTGATTGCCCCTAACTGCCTCTGCCTCGCCCCGCACCTGGGACCCAGGATTTCCTCCTCCAGCCGGTTGTGGGCACCCAGGACCCAGGCTTCCCTCCTTTTGGCTGGCCACAGGCACCCAGGACCCAGGCCAGCTTCACCAGGCCTGCCACAGCCGCCAGGGACGGTGAGCGGGCGGCTTAGCCCGGGCCACAGCCATAGGTGCCTGGGACCACGGGGCGTGCAGCTTGTCCCTCTCCTGGGCTGCAGCCTGGCTGCGCCCCATTCCTCTCTCACGAGCTGATTTGTGCCTGGCTGGTCCCCACTCCCCTCTCCCCAGTATTTGATGTCTGAGTCATTAAGGTGTGAGGTCATGATGACCATTTGCATATTAGCTCTTTATTATATAGGACTAGGCACCTGTTGCAGGAATATTCCTGCAAGACTTCCTGCAGGATCCCCCTCGCCCTGCCCTGCCCCCCACACTGCCAGTGTTTTCCCTCCAGCAGCTATAGCCACCTTGCTTTCTACTTTCCCTCCCTCTTCTTTCTTTTTTTTTTTTTTTTAATATATTTTATTGATTTTTTACAGAGAGGAAAAATGAGGGATAGAGAGTTGGAAACATCGATGAGAGAGAAACATCGATCAGCTGCCTCCTGCACACCCCCCACTGGGGATGTGCCCGCAACCAAGGTACATGCCCTTGACCAGAATCGAACCCGGGACCTTTCAGTCTGCAGACCGACACTCTATCCACTGAGCCAAACCGGTTTCAGCTCCCTCTTCTATGCTGTCTTCAGCCTTCATTCCTCCCTCCCTCCGTGTATGCAAATTAACTGCCATCTTTGTTGGGTTAATTTGCATACCTGCTCTGATTGACTGGTGGGTGTGGCTTGTGTAGCAAAGTGATGGTTAATTTGCACATTATCCTATTATTAGGTTATATAGGTGATTTACCGTACCCCTACACATAGAACTTGTCTTAGGGGCTTAACTTACTCTAGCCATTATTCATTCATACATATATTTTGAGTACCTATTGTTTCCCAGACACTGAGCAGAAAGGGACAAGGGACCACAAAGATTATTCAGTGGGCAGCCCCAGAGCAGTCTAGGAAGAAACGGGTACTTTGCCTTTTTCCACATGTATACCTCCTCAGGGCTGAGGGCCTCCGTGTGCTGCCAGCCGTTCTGTGATTGAAGGAAAAGTTCCACCCAAAAGAAGAAAGTTGAAAGCTACGAATCGAATCCAATTCACGTCATCTTGCCGACGAAGAACCTGAAGCTCGGAGAAGTTATTTAATATCAGAGCTGGGACCAGAGTCCGACCAGAGCTCTGGTAAAAATGCGCTTTCTGTTTCTCACCATGCTGACTGGCAGGTTCCTGCTCAGAATTTCATGTGTTTGATGAAGTAAAATGCCTGCCTAATACATATTTGTAGCCGTGAGATTCAGCATTATTGAATTAAAGAGTACATTTTACCTAATCATTTAAAGTCAGTGATTCATGAACCACTATCCTGAAGAGATCCATGTTAATCCTGAAAAATCCTTTGGGAAATTTGTCAGCTCGGAGGCCATCCTAACAGCCTCGCAACAAAGAATTGTTGATGTTTAGGAGGCGACGGTACAAGAATCAAGATCGATTCTTGATCTGAAGGGACTTTTCAGCCACAAGCTCTTCTAAAAGCAGCCCTTTGAAGTGACTGTCCAACCTCTACCTGAATGTAACCAGTCCCTGGGAGCTCACTGCCTTCTGCTTCAATCCATGCCGTCTTCGAACAGCTTTTAGAGTTAGCAACTAGGTGAAATGTTTGCCGACTTTCTGCATCCTTACACTACATCTCCCCCTTGACTTGCCTACCCCTGGGTTTGTGAAATCACTTAAGGTTAAAGAAAATGCCAATCTTTCCTCATTCTGGGCATAGTGTTTCAGCCTGGTGGAGACACGAAGCAAATGCACCTTCACAATCACAGGTTGTAAACTTGGACCCTATGTCCACTGTCCTACAGATCCCGATTGGCACTGAGATCGAAGGGATGAACATTTTAGGATTGGTCCTCTTTGCCCTCGTGTTAGGAGTGGCCCTAAGGAAACTGGGCTCCGAAGGAGAAGAGCTCATCCGTTTCTTCAATGCCTTCAACGAGGTGACGATGGTGCTGGTGTCATGGATTATGTGGTGAGTACGGCTGCCCTCCCCCCAGCTGCCTGCCCTCCCTCTTATCTCTCCTCCATCCAGAACAGAACTCGACTCTGCTGTTCAAGGTCACCACTGGGTCACCACCTGGCCCAGGGCTCTGTACGTGGTTGGGGCACCCAGGTGGGTCCTGGTACAGGGTGTGATGGAGGTGGAGGCAGTGTCTCCTCCTGTCCAGGACCTCAGAGAATCATCCATGGGCATGGTTACCGGTTACTTCCTCTGCACTCACCGGGACTCGATATGGTTCTATCATCAGTGATCTATTTATGGGTTTCTACCATAGTCTCCTATTATATGTGATGCCCATAGCGTCTTGCGGAGCAATGAATTCCAGAAGTTTGCTATCTGCTCTGTGAAATAAGGCTTATGTTATCTTAAACTGATACCATAGATGGACCTAAAACTTCAGAGGGGGCCCTTACTATATCGTATATCAATACAAGGAGGACAGCTTCACGCATATGTAAACTTGAAATAGCCTTGTGTGTGTGTGTGTGTGTGTGTGTGTGTGTGTGTGTGTGTGTGGTTTTTTTTTACCTAAATGTTTCTGTAGGTAGTATCGATGAAAGTGTAATTGTTTAATACAAAATTATTACATTGGTTTTTGGCTAAAAGGTACAATTTTGACCTGATCCCTCAAATCATACCAATTCCAATGGTCATCCCTCGTCAGCTTCATCCTGCTGTTTCACTCAAACCAGATTTATGTGGATTTTAGCTTCTGTCCTCTCATTATCAGGAAACTAGTTTGTCCTTTCACACTCAAAGCCTTTTCCTAACTGTCAGTCCTTAACCATCCCAGAACTTCTCTCTCTCAGTGGCACTGGGGTGGCAGCTGAGCTGGCGTTAGGAGAGAATTTGGTGGGAAAGTTTGGAATTGGGTGGGAGGCCAAGTCCAGAGCCCCCGCGGATGGGGTTTCTTTTGCTCAACCCAATTCTCTTGCTCAACCAGCATTCCAGAGGCTGGGTCTTATGACACTTTGTTCAGATGACTGTTGTTCTGGGGAGAGAAACAGTTCCAGGAAGGAAAAGTGTTGTCATCACACAGGCCAGGTTCTTTTCCTGGGTTTTGTTTGTTTGTTTGTTTTGTTTTGTCTAAAATCTTCCCAAAGTTTGGATGAAAAAAGACATGGTCACCATAGTGACTAGTAACCACACTACACAGAGGTAGATCTCTGCCAGGATCTGCCCCCTAGCCTTCACTTTTCTTTTTTTCCTTATGAAGTATTACTTACAGAAAAGTACTTTGGAAAAGTACTTAAAACATGTGCACAACTTAATGAATTATCACAAAGGAAACACTCACCCAGAGGTCCCCCTCCCAACCGCTGCCCCTCTGTCCACCTGAAGGAGGGAACTGACCTGGCTTCTCACCCTGCAGACCTGAAAGGTCACAGGTTTGATTCCAGTAGGGGGCAGCCGATTGATGTTTGGTTCTTACATCAATGTTTCTCTCCCTCTCCCTCACTGTCTAAAAATCAATTTTTTAAAAATTTATTTTAAAAAAAAAGCCAATGGTTCTAAAATTCTTCCTCAATTGAGATTAAATTCAAAACAACTGACTTTGGTTCTTTGTAGCTCCCCTGGTTTACTACTTCCCGTCCTTCCGTCCATCCTGCCATTAAAAAAAAAATCTCCACGCTCCAGGAGTGTCCCTAGAGGGTCATTCATCGTTAATGACTTTCTCCTGCGGAATCATGTTTTCCAAATCACAAGGAATTTTAAACCTCACAAAAATCCCAGCCTCGTTTCAAGTCTACAAAACAGGTGTTAAGTCTTTTGTGTTTCGAAGTTTTCAGAACAAACCTAAGCAAAGCTAACAGTCAGACTGCATTCCCAGCGGCTCTGAGCTTGAGCAGTTCCTTGCCTTCCCCTTGGGAGTCCATGTGTTTGGTGACATCCGCCTGTTAAGAACATCATATATCCCAGGGGAAAGAAGCCTGGGTTCTGGTCCCAATTCCATTACCCATGGAGATGTGACATGATCATTTTACTCAGTCTCACAGTCTGTACAATGGGCACATCCCTTTCATTCTCAGAGTCATCGTAGGGCAGTGGTCTGCAAACTCATTAGTTTACAGAGCCAAATATCCACAGCACAACGATTGAAATTTCTTTTGAGAGCCAAATTTTTTCTTTAAATATATTTTATTGATTTTTTACAGAGAGGAAGGGAGAGGGATAGAGAGCTAGAAACATCTACCAGCTGCCTCCTGCACACCCCCCACCGGGGATGTGCCTGCAACCAATGTACATGCCCTTGACGAGAATCAAACCTGGGACCTTTCAGTCCACAGACTGACGCTCTATCCACTGAGCCAAACTGGTTTCGGCGAGAGCCAAATTTTTTTTAACTTAAACTACAATATATAGGTAGGTACATTGTTATTCACTTAATTAGGGTACTCCTAAGCTGGCCTTTGCAAAAAACTCAAGGGCCAAGGAGCCGCATGTGGCTCACGAGCCGCAGTTTGCCGTCCATTGTCCAAGGGGGAAATGACGACAGCCTAGTTGAAAGTCCTCGTGGTATGTGGGGAAGGGCCTGCGTCTCCCAGCCCCCATGTCACATCACTCTTTCTGATGGGTACCTTGTGCTCATGCCCTAGGTATGTCCCTGTGGGCATCATGTTCCTGGTTGGAAGCAAGATTGTGGAAATGAAGGACATTGTCACGCTGGTGACCAGGCTTGGGAAATACATCTTCACATCTATCTTGGGCCATTTTATTCACGGAGGAATTGTCCTGCCGCTTATTTATTTTGTTTTCACCCAAAAGAACCCATTCAAGTTCCTCCTGGGCCTCCTCACACCATTTGCGACAGCGTTTGCCACCTGCTCCAGGTGAGTGGGTTCCGGGTGCCCTTGGTGGCGCTGAGCTGTGTTGATAGGAAACCAGGGGAGCCCGATGGTAGAGGCACAACTGGCCTCTTAAAATACTTAATTATTGGAAAACTCTAAATGGGCCTTATCGGGCTAATCCAGGGGGAGACGGCTTTGGAAAGGGCAGTGCTATTCTCTGTGCGGGAGTGTTGCCACGGCCACGGAGAGCATCTGGAGACTGACATTCAGCCGAGACGTGGTGTTGAAATGAGTAAGAGAACAGCTGGACACAAAACCAATCAGCCCCACAGCTCTTAGGGAAATGGATTTCTGGGATTGCTGAAAGGAGGAATTGCCTTGTTGCTGCTGCTTCTGGCTCCTTGACAGTCAACCTGATCATTATTTGGGCCATAGGCACTGTGGGTCCTCACCCAAATTAGTAAGCCCTTTGCCTGAGGGAAAGAAAATGCATTGTAGGGAAGCTTCTAGAATGTTACCTGTCCAGTTCTCCCTCTGGATGCATGCCTTAGAAAATAAGACCATGGCATCATGGTGAGGGATGCCTGCTCAGCTCTCCAGGAGTATCTATTTTAGCATAAAAGATGTGCCTGTTGTTATTGGAAATAAAAAAAAAAAAAAATCGGGGGCTTTCAGAGTCCAGAGTGCTAACCATTACACCATGGAACCAACTTCGGGGGCTTTCTAAATAAATACATGAAAGAAAACTTTCCAAGGATGGCAGCACATTGTTTCCCTCTCATGTGTAGCCTTTGCCTTTCCACTGTATGCTTCCTCCCATCCCGAAGGGCTAGTCACATGGCCGGGGAGTGGCGGTGGAAAGGATGAGGGAGGTGAGGTTCTCTGGCTCAGACGGGAACAAGCCTGCTCCCCAGCTGCGCCAGCCGCCCTCCTCGATGCCCGCAGCGGCCGTCGGAGAGGACGGCTTCCGCTACCCAGACATCTGTGAACACAGTTACTCTCTCCACCTTCTCTGAGCCCAACAGAAAAAAAGAAATCACCGTGGTTTTTTTGGCCTTGTACTTTATTAATTTTTTTGTGGGGGGGGGATTCAAAAGAGGAGATGCACATATGGAGTCAACAGTTCTTTGTTCTCTTGAGAACCTTTTGTGCCACAAGGTACCGCGTGGTTCTTGAGACGTTTGGAGCGGGTGCATCTGGGTAAAGAACACAGCAGGTCCATGTGGGGAGTCTGGTTTTGAACGCTCTGGGAGCTGACAAAACCCTGTGCGGTGACAGAAACATTAAAACCGTCGTGCTTTTCCTTTTTTATCCCGGGAGAGGGAGCCAGCAGCCTGGGTGGTGCTTTGTGGCTCCCGTCCAGGGCCCGCGCCGAGCGATACGTGGCCCCTGGAAGCCCTGTTCTCACAGGGTCGGCCGTTTCCCCATCCCCAGCTCCGCCACCCTCCCCTCCATGATGAAGTGCATCGAGGAGAACAATGGCGTCGACAAGAGGATCAGCAGGTTCATCCTCCCCATCGGGGCCACCGTGAACATGGACGGCGCGGCCATCTTCCAGTGCGTGGCCGCCGTGTTCATCGCCCAGCTCAACAACTTCGAGCTGAAGGCGGGGCAGATCTTCACCATCCTGTGAGTCACCCCGCCCTCCTCACCCCACAGGCCTGGGTCAGAACCTGAGGGATTGCTTCTTTCTTCTTTTTAAATTTATTTTATTTTTTTTTATTTATTTTATTTTTTTGTTTTGTTTTGTTTTTTTACAGTGAGGGAGGGAGAGGGATAGAGAGTCAGAAACATCGGTGAGAGAGAATCATCGATCAGCTGATCAGCTGCCTCCTGCATACCCCCTACGGGGGATGTACCCGCAACCGAGGTATATGCCCTTGCCCGGAATCGAACCTGGGACCCTTCAGTCCACAGACCGATGCTCTATCCACTGAGCCAAACCGGTGAGGGCCTGAGGGATTTTCTGTGATTTCCTTGGGGAAATCCTGATAAGGACCAATCCCGCCCGCCCGCCAGCACAAGTCATCTCCGCTATGAAGTGAGCACAGCGGGAACCCACTACTTGGAGAGAGTGCGATGTCTCTCGCAGGCTCTGCCGGCAGGATGGCGGGCGGGTGACGTGGCTTTCCGTTGCCCCGCCGCGGCTGCCTGCCGCGTTCCGCCCCTCTCTGTGCCCCCTGCGGGCTCTGTGCTCGCGGTGACCCTGCTGTGCCATCCCTAGCGTGACGGCCACCGCGTCCAGCGTCGGAGCGGCGGGCGTGCCGGCCGGAGGCGTCCTCACCATCGCCATCATCCTGGAGGCCATCGGGCTGCCCACTCACGACCTCTCCCTGATCCTGGCCGTGGACTGGATCGTGTGAGTAGCAGGTCCTGAGGGCATCGAACCGAGGAGGGTCTGTATGGAGCTCCCCAGGGGCTCGGCACTCCGCTGGGCCTGAGGCGCGTGGAGACACTTCCCTGCCTTGGGAAGGAGCCCACGGTTGAGCTGGCAAGACAGCACTTAGCGCTGGGACAAGTAAACAACATGAGTCAGAGGCTCCTGGGTGACCAGGCAATGTTATTACCGAGAACTCGCTCAGAGCATCCCGGAAAGCATGGGTCTCGGGGTGGGGGTGGGAGCCACTAAGATCTGTGGGAGTTGTTGGTTCTGCGGGAGTCATAGCCGTGGGTGCAGGGAGCCTTTGGGAAGGACAATCCTTGGCCAGCAATGCCCCGAGGGTGGTTTCTGTGCGGAGAGGGAAGGTGAACGCAGTTCCCGGGAATGCCTGGGGCTCAGGGGGGAGGTGTGAGGAAGGAGATGTGCTTTGGACTGCCATCGGCAAAGCTCCTGTAGGTGGAGAACAGTTTCTGAGTGTGGATTCCTGGAGTGTTGCATGATACCCTTCTCAGGTAGGGACGATCCCTATGTTACAGGGAAGGTTAGCTAGAAGGACTAGTGTTGGACAGGAGAGCACGTGGATAAGAAAAGGAGCCTCCGAGTCCAGGGACCTGGGTTCCAGTCCCAGCGGTTGCCATGACTAGCCGTGTGACAGGACTGCCGGCTCACCTGTGGAACGGGAACAGTCGCAGAACCCGCACCGAGGCTGTGGCGGAGACTGGGCTGGCCGATGCACAGCGCACGGGAGAGTCCCAGGCCCGTGGGAAAGCAGGGCACTTCCTCTGAGCTCCAGGAGGGAGGATGGCTATCGGGCTAATCCAGGGGGAGACGGGCTTCCGGAAAGGGCGGTGCTAGTCTCTGTGCCGGGTGTTGCCCCAGCCACGAAGAGTATCTGGAGATGGACATTCAGCAGAGATGCAGTGTTGGAGTAGGAGAACTACTGGACACAAAACCATATCTACTCTATCGTCCATCTCGGCTCTAGGTACCTTAGAGCAGTGTTTCCCAACCTTCTCTCATGATGAGAATCACCTGGTGGAGTTGTTAAAACACAGATTCCCGGATCCCAACTAAGAAGTGCTAAACTAGAATTTTTGAGAACATATAGGTAAAATTGCATACTTAACTAGTGCTCTTAGACAGAATTTATATACAGAGCACTAAGTTAGGTATGCAATTTTACCTATATGTTCTCAAAAATTCTAGTTTAGCACTTCTTAGTTGGGATCCGGGAATCTGTGTTTTAACAACTCCACCAGGTGATTCTCATCATGAGAGAAGGTTGGGAAACACTGCCTTAGAGGATGGCATCTTTAGACCCACAATGCATGCGTAGAAAGAGACTGGAAGGAAACCATCAGAATGGCAGTACTGGCTCACTCAGACTTGTGACATGGGGGGTGACTTTTGTTTTCTACTTTATACTTATCTTCCCCACCCCCAAGTTTTTAGTTTTTATTTTTATTTTTTAAATATATTTTATTGATTTTTTTTTTACAGAAAGGAAGGGAAAGGAAAGAGATAGAGAACTAGAAACACCGATGAGAGAGAGACATCGACCAGCTGCCTCCTGCACACCCCGCACCAGGGATGTGCCCGCAACCAAGGTACATGTCCTTGACCGGAATCGAACCTGGGACCTTTCAGTCCGCAGGCTGACGCTCTATCCACTGAGCCAAACCGGTTTCGGCCACACGCCCCAAGTTTTCTACAATGAGTATCTATTACTTTCCTAAGAAAAGACAATTACAAGGAAGGCCGCTTAGAGTAGCGAAGCCTTAGGCCCTTAGCAGCGTGCACTCTGGGAAAGAGCAGGGCCCACAGGGTCACTGCTTCCCCATGGCCTTGGCCTCTGTAGTGGGGCCGCCCCCGGGTGGCTGCCAGTGGCATTGCCTTTCTCTTCCCACCAGGGACCGGACCACCACGGTGGTGAACGTGGAGGGCGACGCCCTGGGCGCGGGCATCCTCCACCACCTGAACCAGAAGGCGATGAAGAAGAAGGGGGCGCAGGAGCTGAGTGAGGTGAAGGTGGAAGCCGTCCCCAACTGCAAGTCAGAGGAGGAGACGTCGCCGCTGGTGACACACCAGAACCCGGCGGGCGGCCCCGCTGCTGCCTGCGCCGTGGAGCTGGAGTCCAAGGAGTCGGTCCTGTGACGGGGCTGGGCTCCCCGCTTGCCGGCCTGTGGCAGTGCCCACCACCCTCACCGACTTTAGCCTCCGGGCAATGCGCTGGCCCAGTCAGCGGTGTGAGGATCCCTTTCTCGGCACAGGCAATGGCTTTCCAGCCAGAACTGGCTCCTGAGGACTAAGGTCACGGACATTCAGCTTGATTCCCCCATCTAGATGCAACCATGTGCGTGCACCAGGGTCTGTCGGAAGCACGCCCTGGAGCGGCCAGGCTGGGGGAGACAACAGGCTGGCAGGGACCTGCCGGTCAAAGCGTGGGAAAATGCAGAGGTGCCCTTCAACTGCACCCCGCCACTGCTTTCCAGGCAAACGTAGGGGGTTTGCAGTCATCTGTCACATTGCCTTGCTTGCGAGCCTTCATGACTGGAACATTCCCAAGTTCTTTCGCCTTGAATGGAATTCGCTGAGCTGGGACTCCGGGTGTTACAGTTTGTGCTACAATTAGGTGCCGCTGGCTTCTGGTTCAAGGGTTGCTGGTGGACTGGCGGTGCTGCACGCTGTCAAGTTAGAAATACTCCAGACGGTGGTGGGACTGCTGGCTTCTCTGGTCAGAGGCATTGAGTCAACAGTGTGAACTCGGAGATCAAAGGAAGGAGCAGGAATGCAGCCTGCAGGGGGAAGGGAAGCAACATAACCATGACAGGATGCACACACACACACACACACACACACACACACACACACACGTCCCCTTTCTCCCCCCAGCCCTGGGGAAGTTTGCGGCTTCATGACCCGGGCCTCTGACAATGCTGTAACTTCCTCGTCATCCCCTCTGATGCAGGACCCCGGTTGGTTTCTCCATCTACTATTTTTTGTTGTTGTGAATCCTCTTAAGGATATTTCTCCTCTCCTGATTTTTTAGAGAGAGTAGAAGGGAGTGGGGAGACAGAGAGACACATCAGTTGGTTGCCTCCCACAAGCGCCCAACCAGGGCTGGGGATCGAGCTTGCAATTTGACTGGAATCAGACCTGGGCCCTTTTGGTCTATGGGCTGACATTCTTACCACTGAGCCAAACCGGCCTGAGATTTTTTTTTTTTTTTACCTAAGTGATACCTCTCTTCACGAAGCCCTTGGTCTTCAGGTGAAGACACCTTTACGACTGGGGCTTTGCTTTCTGTGCATTAGCCACTTCCTCACGCTCTTGTTCGCTCGTTCTCTGTGCAGTTAGTTCCTCAGCAGCAGCAGAGGCAGCCTCTCCTGATGTCCTCCAAGATCTTACGAATTAGCCATCTCACCTGTCATCGCATTTCCGGTACCGACTTCCCTGTGCGTCCCAGACCCAGGCACCGTTCCTGCCACCCCCCAACAGGCCATCAAAGCCCCCCAGCTTTCACCCTCAGCCATCGCCTTGTTTTCCCTGTGGCTGGGGTTTTGCTGTCACCCAGGCCCTGGGTGATCTATTTTGTGATGTGTGTCCCATTGCGATGAGGGTGGGTGGATGGGACAGAGACGGTCAAACTCCTCTATCATAAACGAGGCCGGAGCCTAAGCAGAAGTGATGGGGTGAGGAGGAGCCATGAGGCACTGAGCTAACCCAGCTCCCCAACATCTCTAAGCCAGCTAAGCCACGCCCCTTTCCTGTGAGGCCTGGAGTGACCAGGAACTGAACTGAGCTGAGGTGTCTCAGAATTACCCACTGGCTAGAGCTAGCTGATACCCTTCCGTTTTCAAAGGGGGAGACAATCACATGGATTACAAACTGCAAATGGACATTCACTGCTTCTCAGGCTTTAGTATAGTTTGTCTTTCCCTCTTCCACAGATTTATGGCTGTATTTTGTGTGTGTGTGCGCGCGCACTATAGTTTATGCAAGTTTGAGCTTGGATAGAGGTGAGCTAACTGCAAGTTGAATGGCTTTGACATCCCAATTTTCCTGTTTCTAATGGTGGGTTTCACAAAACAAGGACATTTGAGCTGCACAGTGAGACACGCTGTCTGTGCTGTGCCTGGAAATGCAGTACAGAGGGTGCCCATCCTGAAGCTGGGTTCTTCCCAACGGTGATCACGCCCCTTCCCCCCAGACGGAGTAGGTGCTGATCTCCTGTCTGTTTCTCTGTGCACAAGAGCAATCAGACCGGGAGTGACCTGGCCGGAAAAAATCCCACTCATTGTCTGAAGCTGTCTCCCCACCCCAATTCTCTTGTAACGCATCCTAAGTACTGTTCAAGTGCCGTTCATCTCTTCTGTCTGTGTGACATTTGCCTTAAACATAGCAGTCTTCAACAATGAACACACTTTCTACCAGGATCTGCGCCTTCCTTTCTTCCTGTCTTGTGTGTTGAACTGGCATGTCCGAAGGGGCGCTTCCTGGGGAAGGGCCTGTGGGTGACGGAGGTGATTGATGTTCTAGCTGTTGGCCAGCAGCACCCCTGAGGCAGCTAGGCCCGTTCCGATAGGCAAAGCCGCAGCCGGCCGGCACTGATTTGGCTTCCGGCTGGTGTTGACCAGCTGCTTCTGGGCGTCTCCCATTCAACACCAGCAGGGCTCCACAAAGTTAAGTTCTGTTAAGACCACGAGGTCAGCGGGCCTGGACTGAGCACTGCGGTGAGCCAAGCGCTAAGCTCCATAGAATTACTCTCTGGAGTCCCTGCATCAGGCAGTTCCCGAGCCTACACCATCATCCCCGCCACACCCAGCCCTTTCTTTTATATATAATCCCATCTCAAGTGACGCCACATTCCAGCACAATTAGGGAGTTTAGAAACCTCTACTAATGAGATGCTCCTACAAGCTCACACTAAAGGCCAGTTTCCACACCCTGGGGCTCCTGACGGGACGAGTCCTCATCTGGCCTGGACATTCCCAGCTCTTCGTATTGTATGGACAATGTGATTTTAATTTCTAGGTAAGGCCCAGAGGGATGAGGAGGGAGTTTGCCCAGATCGAGGACCTGATGGGGCTTGTTGCTAATGAGATGTAGGTACCCGCTATGGGGCACAGCTGCCCTGATTCTCTGTTCTGGAGCGTGTTTGAGGCTGAGATTAGTACGTGGTGGTTCCGCTCTCACAAAGCCATATCAAGAGGAGCAATCCTGGAAGCTGCCTCCCCCGGCTGGTGTTGACCAGCTGCTTCTGCGCAGTAAGCACTGACCTGTGGGGTCACCTGAGCCTGCTCAGAGAGACTTCCGATGACACCTGTGAATGGCATAAGCCATGTCCAGTCCCCGCTTTGCCACTTGCTTGCTTGTGACCCTGGGCACAATAGCCTCTCTGTGCCTCAGTCTCCTCGTCTTGAAATGGGAACATTAATTGTACCAATGGCATAGGCCATTGTGAGGAGGAAAGGAGTTCATGTAAAGTGTTCCGAAAGGCACCTGGTACGTGGCACGTACTCTGTCAGCCTTGGCTCTCCAGTCAGACACGGAGTGAGCGGCAGGAGAGTTTCCGAACCCGCCTGTGTCCCTTTGCGTACGGGCCCACGTGGCATGCTCCTGAAGAGACAGAAGATATGTTTCCACTCCTGGGCTCCTCTGCCCACCCAGGCCTGTGGAGTAGGGGAGTGGGCCCATTTTGGACCTGCGTTCTAAAAATATTTGGATGGCGGCTTAGCAGGAACTGGGCTTTATGAACAGTTGTCAGGATGCACGTGAATGCCCTCACTCTCAAAAGAAGCCCTCCACACGAGCCTGCCTCTCTTCAGCTACCTCCTCCCAAGTTGCAATCCAGGAAGCAGCACCTCCCAACAGTGCCCTGCCTTCTGGAGAGGAGTGAGCTCTCCTGGCCCAAGGTGGACCCCTATTTACCACACTCCGAGGTGGGGGGGCGGGACAAAGGCAGGCTGAAGTGCGGGGGCTGTGGTCTGTCTCCCAATGTCAGGACCCTCCACCTGCAGCCCCTTTACTTGGGGCTCAGTGAGAGAGTCTGCACAGGGAGAGGGAAGAGCTTCATTCATCTGAAAGCAAACGTCCGCCTCTTAATAAAGGAAAACAGCCATGCATCCTCACTGGTTTTTCAGCGTTTCAGAGTAGAGCTGAGAATCCTAAAATGTATCAAATCAGTCTCAAACCTGATTTTTCCCCCCCGAAATAATATATCTGTTGGGCGGGATTTTAGCCGATTTAGGATGATTTGGAGCAAGATCCGAGATGGAGATGACAGCTTGGGGGCTCTCAGGGTGGTTTGGAACAGATGAACGACCTCAGGTCTGAGGGCACAGCTGTCCCAGGCTCCGCCTTCAGGGAGAAAGACAATCATGCCTGGAGCTCAGAGTGTTCCTTCTTTACGAGGACAGTTCCAGGGGTGCCCTGAGGCCAATACAGAGCATCTCTTCACTTTTTTTTTTTTTAATAATAACTTTATTGAGAACTAATCCGCACACCATAAAATTCACCCTTTTGAATTGTATAATTCAATGGCTTTTAGTGTATCTAGAGTTGTGCAACCACCACCACCATCTACTTCCAGAAGCGTTTTGTCACCCCCAAAAGAATCCCGGGGCTACTGGGAACACTAATCTACTCTGCTTGTATGGATTTGCCTATTCTGGACATCTCACATATACACCGAGTGGCCAGATTATTCTGACCTCTGAATGCATAATAATCTGGCCACTCTGTATGTGTGTGTGTGTGTCTGCGTGTGTGTCTGTGTGTGTGTGTGTGTGTGTGTGTATTAGAGGCCCGGTGCATGAATTTGTGCATGGGTGGGGTCCGGCCAGCCTGGCCAAGGGGAGGGCTCATGGGCAGTTGGCCGGCCGGCCTGCTGGTTGAACTCCTGGTCAAGGAGTTTGCATGTTAGCCTTTTATTATATAGGATATACACTGAGTGGCCAGATTATTATGCGTTCAGAGATCATAATAATCTGGCCACTCAGTGTATATCTAGCTGTTTCCTTTTATAAATACATCCCAGATAAAGAGAATGGATGTTCAAAAAGTAATCACCGCCCACCTTCACTACACGCACTCTTCCCACACACACTCAAAGAAGATCCTATAAAATCTTCTTGATTGCCAAATACAGACTCAATCAATCTAGCTTGTTGAGCTAAAAGGATGTCTGATTATAGGGCTAACAAGAACACTTAAATAATTTGAGGAGCCTCCTCCCCAAACATGTACAAGCAATGAAGGTCTGTGTATCTAGACCACATGCTAAGTTGAAATGTGGTCTGGATCCAGGTGACTTTTTCTGCTCACATCCTGCTCAGGGCACTGTGCACTCCCACATGGCACCGTCCACACCGTGTTCTGTGTAAGGGATGCCCCTGGGGTTGGCACAGTGCACAGCCTTCCCCGCTGCCTGCGGCAGCCTGAACTCCGGAGGCGAGCTGCAGGTAAGAGACTTGACTCACACACACACACACACATGTTTGCCCCATAAATTAATTTCTCCCTTTTAATAGGTGGAGGCTAATGAGCCTCAGAGGCAATAGGATTGATTTGAGGTCAAGAGGAACCTCCTTCATCAATGCCACTGCTCAAGTTGGTTTTCCTGGTGTTAGTGTGCCTGTCAAGAGGGACCTCTGGAAGTGCTGGCCAGTGCTGTTTCTTGATTGGATGAGTGTTTGCTTCGTGATAATGCATTACATTGTGCACATGTTTTATATACTTTTCCACAGGTATATGGAAATTAGGGGGGAAAAAGGTGAGGGCCAGAGGGCAGGACCTGACAGGAGACCTACCTCTCTGTAGGGGTTGCCAGTCACGGGTGACCATGTCTTTTCTTAGGTGCCCCCCTCACCTCTAGCCACGCCCCTCTCAGCTAATTTCATCTTGGTCATCTAGAGCAGGGTCAGCTGGTCATAACCCACCCCTTGTTTTTGTGTGCCCTCGACACTGCTCCAAAAGACAGCATTGGAGCCAGGCCAGGATGGCCCCTCCACCTGTATCAGGGCTGACTTACCCCTTAAGCATGGTACGTACAGGCTTATGACCCCCAAAACTTTTAGGGACCCACAGAAATATTTTAAAATCAGAAGGATATAATCCAATCTGGATTATATTGGCCCATAGATCAACACAGTTATAGAATACTAGATGTCCAGTGCTCAAAATTAGTGCATGGGGGTAGGGGGGTCCCCTCATCCCAGCCTGCACCCTCTCCAACCTGAGACCTCTCGGGAGATGTCCAACTGCAGGTTTAGGCTCACTCTCATGGAACCGGCAGTTGGACATTCCTCTCACAGTTCGGGACCACTGGCTCCTAACTGCTCACCTTCCTGCCTGCCTGATCGCCCCTAACTGGCCCCCCTGATGGCCTGGTCACCCCCAACTGCCCCCCTCACCAGCCTGGACACCCCATGCAGCTGCGGCTCAGTTGTTTGGTTACCCCTCACTAACCCCCCGCTGGCCTGGTCACTCCACGCAGTCTATTTGATCGTCCATTCAGTTGCAATGGTCACTTAGGCTTTTATAGATAGATAGATAGATAGATAGATAGATAGATAGATAGATAGATAATCTTTACTATATCTTAATGGAGGAAGTAGAGGAAGGGCCCATGAAGGCAGAAGTACCAAGACCCCAGGAAAGTCACATGCAGCCCTGGCACCTGCTCTGCCTTCCACTCCCAGCGCCAGCCTCTCTGGTGAAGGGTCACATCTCTTCACCATGCTGGTCACCACAGACATGCTGGGGACTTTGCTATTGGCACGGCTGGGGACCAAGGCATGGAATCCCAGTTCAGGAGTCGGCAACTCGGAGAATTGCTCCGCTCTGGCCAGTGGCTGAGATGACTGGACTTGTGCTCCAGGGTCTAGCTGACACTGGCAGAGTGAAACTGACTGGTAGCCAACTGTCCCACCCCCGCACTGTCCATCAAGCTCACCCCCCAGTGGCTCTTTGTCTCCATCTGATGGCAACTGGCCATCTCGTTTGTCCACCACTGGGGATGGCCCACCCCAGGCGAATGGGGGGGGGGGGGGCAGGGCAGGGTTTTCTCTTCTGCTATATAAGAACCGACTTCATATCTTTTGATTTTTACCTCTTGTCCCAGAAAGCCTAAGTAACTTATGATCTGGTCCATTATGGAAAAGTTTTGCTAACTCCTGCTCTAAAGAAAACATATCCCACTCTCCTGACCCATTTGCCACTGGGTATTGTTGGATGGGACCTGGAAAGCCATGTAAACTGTGCTACAATGCTCAGCCCAGGAAAGAGGGCTCAGCCAGCTCAGGCCTAGGACAACAGCCAGCCTGAGGTGTGCTGGTTGGCTGGCTGGAATTTTTACTGGCTGGAGGACAAAGTAAGACTTATCTGAGGAACACTCCAAGATGGCCCTCAGCGATCCCTGACTGCTAGTGTTTGG